AGAGAGAGAGAGAGAGAGAGAGAGAGAGAGAGAGAAAGAAAGAAAGAAAGAAAGAAAGAAAGAAAGAAAGAAAGAAAGAAAGAAAGAAAGAAAGCTATACTCTCTTGAATGTTCTATGAATTCAACTCTGTAAATATTAGAAAATTTTTACCTCAGCGATCTCAAAACCTTTATTCCCATTTATACGTATACACCCTGCCTGTTTTATAAAAACTTTATTTTGTTTTTTAAAGTTAATTTGCCTCAAGTGCCATTTCTCAAGGGTTCACAAAACTGGACAGCTCCTGTATTTTCAGTAGCGTTCCTGAGCTCAGGAACTGAGGGGAACTGAAGATTTGGTCACTGAGGGGAACTGAAGATTTGGTCACTGAGGGGAATTGAAGATTTGGTCACTGAGGGGAACTGAAGATTTGGTGGGAAAAATCTGCCAGATAGTTGGGGAGATACAGGGGTTCATCATCAATGCTTTTTAAAAAGCACATCCATTGTTTTTGTTATTGAACAGGAAATGCTAGTCCGGGGGCAGGAGGGGCTGCCTTTGGGATCGCGAGGAGGAGATTGGATTTATACCCCGCCCTTCACTACCCGAAGGAGTCTCAGAGTGGCTTACAAACTCCCCTCCCTTCCCCTCCCCACAACAGACATCCTGTGAGGTCGGTGGGGCTGAGAGAGCGCTTGACAGAAACGGCTCTTTTTCAAGAACAGCTCTTATCAGAGCTACAGCTTGCCCAAGGTCATCCAGCCAGGTGCAAGTGGAGGAGTGTAATAAATTTGTACATCTGACTTTACTCAGGTTATGGAAGTCAAATGAACAAGAGCTAAACTACATGATGCACTTGGCTTTTGCAAGGAGCTCAGCTCAGATTCTGTAGTCTAAAACTTCTAAAGCAACATAGTTTAGAAAATACAGTCTTGCTTGGGTCAGGGATTTGTTTGCATTCATTAATCCATCGGTGATCTAGAATAGCCTGGTCTTGTCAGATCTCAGAAGCTAAGCAGGGTCAGTACTTGGAAGGGAGACCACCAAGGAAGACTCTGCAGAGGAAGGCTGTGGCCAACCACCTCCACTTCTCACTTGCCTTGGAAGCCCCCTGCTGGGGTTGCCATACACTGGGAGCTAAGCAGGGTCTGTACATGGAAGGGAGAACACCAAGGAAGACTCTGCAGAGGAAGGCCATGGCCAACCACCTCTGCTTCTCCCTTGCCTTGGAAGCCCCTTGCTGGGGTTGCCATACACTGGGAGCTAAGCAGGGTCTGTACTTGGAAGGGAGACCACCAAGGAAGACTCTGCAGAGGAAGGTCATGGCCAACCACCTCCGCTTCTCACTTGCCTTGGAAGCCCCTTGCTGGGGTTGCCATACACTGGGAGCTAAGCAGGGTCTGTACTTGGAAGGGAGACCACCAAGGAAGACTCAGCAGAGGAAGGCCATGGCCAACCACCTCCGCTTCTCACTTGCCTTGGAAGACCCATGCTGGGGTTGCCATACACTGGAAGCTAAGCTGGGTCAATACTTGGAAGGGAGACCACCAAGGAAGACTCTCCAGAGATAGGCAATGGCCAACCGCCTCTGCTTCTCACTTGCCTTGGAAGCCCCTTGCTGGGGTTGCCATACACTGGGAGCTAAGCAGGGTCTGTACTTGGAAGGGAGACCACCAAGGAAGACTCAGCAGAGGAAGGCCATGGCCAACCACCTCCGCTTCTCACTTGCCTTGGAAGACCCATGCTGGGGTTGCCATACACTGGAAGCTAAGCTGGGTCAATACTTGGAAGGGAGACCACCAAGGAAGACTCTACAGAGATAGGCAATGGCCAACCGCCTCTGCTTCTCACTTGCCTTGGAAGCCCCTTGCTGGGGTTGCCATACACTGGGAGCTAAGCAGGGTCTGTACTTGGAAGGGAGACCACCAAGGAAGACTCAGCAGAGGAAGGCCATGGCCAACCACCTCCGCTTCTCACTTGCCTTGGAAGACCCATGCTGGGGTTGCCATACACTGGAAGCTAAGCTGGGTCAATACTTGGAAGGGAGACCACCAAGGAAGACTCTACAGAGATAGGCAATGGCCAACCGCCTCTGCTTCTCACTTGCCTTGGAAGCCCCTTGCTGGGGTTGCCATACACTGGAAGCTAAGCAGGGTCTGTACTTGGAAGGGAGGCCACCAAGGAAGACTCTGCAGAGGAAGGCGATGGCCAACCACCTCCACTTCTCACTTGCCTTGGAAGCCCCTTGCTGGGGTTGCCATACACTGGAAGCTAAGCAGGGTCTGTACTTGGAAGGGAGACCACCAAGGAAGACTCTGCAGAGGAAGGCGATGGCCAACCACCTCCACTTCTCGCTTGCCTTGGAAGCCCCTTGCTGGGGTTGCCATACACTGGGAGCTAAGCAGGGTCTGTACTTGGAAGGGAGGCCACCAAGGAAGACTCTGCAGAGGAAGGCCATGGCCAACCAGCTCCGCTTAATCACTTGCCTTGAAAATCCTACGGGATGGCCATAAGTCAGCTGCTCCTTGAGGGCACTTTACACACACTCACCAGTCCCCTGAGGAGCTCAGCTCCCAAAAGGAGGTCTGCCCAGCTCAGGTTATGCAGAGCTCATGCTAAAATGTGGTCATGAAAATTAACATGGTTTAGGAGTCCTACGTGAGGGGACAGACCCGTTTCAGAGCAAAAGCAGAACTATAAGGCAGGAAATTGGATAAAAACATTGTGCTGGTAAAAGGGAATGGTTAATTTCAGGCTAACCCCTCATTAAGCCTGACCAGGGGTCATTTCCTGCGGGAGCGCACAGGAGCAGAGTTCCAGCAGTAAGGAGCCCAGGGGGTGGGCACATGCAACAAGCCCTGCCCCCTGCTCCCAGCAGCCCTCAGTTGGGCTACAAGGCGCAAGAAGCAGCCAGGTAAATTGCAAAGCCCCCCCCCTCGGGCCCGCCTTCAGGTACAAGCTCTCCCTCCTCTGTGAGGGCAGATCTGCGCGTTCCCCCCCCCATCGCTAGCAATCCAAAACAGTCCACTGGAGCCTGAGCGGTGGGTGTTGCCTTCTGACACACTTCCGGTGAGGTCAGGGGGTGTGGCACATGCAAATAAGTTATGCTAATGAGCTCCTGCACCTCTTTTTCTACAAAATGACCCCTGAGCCTAACGGTGCTACTTGTTAGAGAGGGGGGCAAGTTTTCACACAACTCCCTTCCTCCCAAGAGGCGGGCTGGCCCTCTGGGGAGGCGGGCTTTGAAGACTGCAAGTATCTCTTGCTCCAGGCCCATCTCGTGAGACCCATCACCTGATCTGGCTCCACTTGTTCTAGGCTGTCGCAGAACACCTCGCTCTCCGAATCACTGGTCCCTTGGGAGCTCCTGACGCTTCCCTCCACACGGCCTGGTCCTGCAACAGAAGAAGCAACTTTGGCTCAGAAATGGAAGATGAAAGAAGGCGGAGAAGATTAGAATGGCCCACGTGGGCGTCAACTGTCGAATCCTGCAACATCTGAGAACCCAAACGTGGGAAACTTTAGGCTTTTCCTTCTGCTCCAGGCGTCTCCACTCCTTATTCCTAATATTTGATCCACGATGAAAAGTAAGGCCAAGAAAGCCAAGGTGTGTAGAATTAAAACCATCAGTAAGGGCTTTTTCCACAGTCCTTTGGAACGGCTTGCTAGAGTGGGTGCAGAGGGCGTGTTCCCTCGGTCACGGATGACATATTTAAGTTTGGCTTTCTTGCAATACCTTAGGTCTGGGCAACTCTGTCTTGATCCAGACACTCAGGTCCAGCAGAACTCAAGAGGGGGCTGAAGCTCAGTGGACAAGCCTCTCCTCGGGATGCAGAGGGTCCCAGGTTCAATCCCCAGCATCTCTAGTTAAAAATGTCAGACTCTTGAACAAACTTGCTCCCAACAACACTCTGATTTGTTTATTGAGAGATGAAGATGTGTCAAGTTGATATGCTCTGTGTCAGAACTGACCAGGGGTCATTTCCTGCAGGAGCGCACAGGAGCGGAGCTCCGGCAGTAAAGAGCCCAGGGGGCGGGCACATGCAACAAGCCCCGCTCCCTGCTCCCAGCAGCCCTCAGTTAGAGCAAGAAGCAGCCAAGTAAGTTGCAGAGCTCCCCCCGGCCCCCCGGTCCAAAACAGTCCAGTGGTACCTTTAAGACCAAGTTTTATTCAGGTACAAGCTCTCCCTCCTCTGCGAGGACAGATCTGCACGTTCCCCCCCTCCCCCCAATAGCTAGCAATCCAAAACAGTCCAGTGGAGTCTGAGCAGTGGGTGTCGCCTTCTGACACACTCCCGGTGATGTCAGGGGGCGTGGTATATGCAAATAAGTTACGCTAATGAGTTATGCTAATGAGCTCCTGCACCTCTTCTTCTACAAAATGACCCCTGGACTGACTCTCTAGGCGCCAGTTCTGATATTATACATAGTTCAAACACACACATACCACGTCCAGTCCAATCAGGCCAGCCCACCAAAATCTACTGTGCACCATTAGCCCTCCCCAGCACCTGCAAGCTTAGTATCTAGCTGTGTCTGGTGTCCAAGGTCAAGCATGCATTCTTCCCCGGAGAAGGGAGGCCCCGCATAAATTCAGTTACAAGCTAGTGCGACTCTTAGCAAAGTGGCTTCACACACACAAACGTTCCCAGACTCCCCACTTCAAAGCACAATGACAAAGGACAACAGGCATACAGAACCAAAGTAAATTAAGAACTCCATGGCAAGCGAGACCCGAGTTTGACAAAAAGGATAAGTTAGCTGGTGATGTAAACCATCTCTGCCTGAGATCTGCTGCCGGGTCAGAGCAAACACAAGACTGACCTTGACAGACCAAAGACAGGTTGTTGTTGTTCAGTCACACAGTCGAGTCCGACTCTTCACGACCCCATGGACCAGATCATGCCAGGCCTTCCTGTCTTCCGCCGTCCTCTGAAGTTGGCTCAATTTCATGTTCGTTGCATCTGTGACACTGTCTAACCATCTCATCCTTTGCCGTCCCCGTCTTCTTTGACCTTCAGTCTTTCCCAGCATCAGGGCCTTCTTCTCCAGTGAGGGCTCCCTTCTCATTGGGTGGCCAAAGTCTTTGAGCTTCAGCTTCAGTATCTGGCCTTCCAGGGAACAGTCAGGGTTGATTTCTTTTAGGATTGACTGAATCGATCTCCTTGCAGTCCAAGGGACTCTCAAGAGTCTTCTCCAGCACCATTGTTCAAAAGCATCCATTCTTCGGCGCTCGGCCTTCCTTATAGTCCAACTCTCTCAGCCATACATGACTACTGGGAATACCTAGGATAAGGCAGCTTCACGTGTTCAAGAAGTGCCAAGAGCAACACTGCATCCCGAGCCTATGAATTTGCGCAGGAGTCAAGTGGTGTTGCAAAAAAATCTTTTGTTATAATTTATTAAGCTTGTCTATTGAGCAAGTAAACAACCCACAGCACAGTTTAGCAAGCCGGGGAAACCGGTTTGAGTAAAAATTAATGTAGGGTATCAAATTTTAGGAGAAGTCCACCGAAATGTCAGCTCGTTGCTCGTTGGAATAGGTGAATGTTATAAATCTAAATTGATTTTAAAACTGGCTTATCTGTCACGCCTCCTCCCAAGGGAACTTGGGAATTCTAGTAGCAATCCCAGTTTAGAGACTTCACGTTCCTGGGATCCCAGATCACCGCAGACTGTGACAGCAGCCATGAAATTAAAAGACGCCTGCTCCTTGGGAGGAAAGCGATGGCGAACCTAAACAGCATGATAAAGAGTTAGACACATCACCCTGCCAACAAAAGTCCGCATGGTCAAAGCAATGGTATTCCCAGTAGTCATGTATGGCTGTGAGAGTTGGACTATAAGGAAGGCCGAGCGCCGAAGAATAGATTCTTTTGAACTACGGTGCTGGAGAAGATTCTTGAGAGTCCCTTGGACTGCAAGGAGATCAAATCAGTCAATCCTAAAAGAAATCAACCCTGACTGTTCGCTGGAAGGCCAGATAATGAAACTGAAGCTGAAGTACTTTGGCCACCCAATGAGAAGGGAGCACTCACTGGAGAAGACCCTGATGCTGGGAAAGACTGAAGGTCAAAGAAGAAGGGGACGGCAAAGGATGAGATGGTCAGACAGTGTCATCGATGCAACGAATATGAAATTGAGCCGACTTCAGAGGACGGCGGAAGACCGGAAGGCCTGGCGTGATCTGTGCGACTGAACAACAACAAAAAACATCCCTGTCCCAATCTGGATGACTCAGTCTAGCCAGATCTTGTCAGAGATTGGAAGCTAAGCAGGGTTAGTACTTGGGTGGGAAACAACCCAGGAAGCCCAGGGTCGTTACGCAGAGGCAGGCAGTAGCAACCACTTCTGAATACCTCTTGCTTTGAAAGCCCTGTGAAGGTTGTCCCAAGTCGACTGCAACTTGAAAGCAAACAGAATTAAATAAAATATTTACCACAGTGGCAGCATGGATTATATTCAAATCCGGCCACTTTGAAAAACAAAAAGCTATCTCGGTCAGGATACCGTTGTGCCGACTGGCGCAGACTTGATTCTCTTGACCAGGGCAAGTAAAGCTCTCATTCCGGCAAGGTCCTCGCTGTCAGCAACGTTCCAGGGTTCCAGAAAAACCCTGACAAGCAGGTAGTGCTCCAGGGGCCTTCTGCTCTAAGCCAGGGCTTTTTTTGTAGAAAAAGCCCAGCAGGAACTCATTAGCATAATTGGCCACACCCAACAGCAGAAACATATTAGCCTATTAGGCCACACCCCCGACAGCACAGCTCATTAGCATATTAGGCCACACCCCCATGTTACCAGAAGTGTGCTCATCCAGCCACACCCACCTTTTGCTTCTTATTCTGTTTACCTTGTTTGTTGTCAAAACCCAGGGCCTTTTTTTGGAGCAGGGACTCCTTTGCATGTTAGGCCACACACCCCAAATGTAGCCAATCCTAATGAGTTTCTGCTGCTGGGTGTGGCCTGTTATGCTAATGAGTTCCTGCTGGGCGTGGCCAACTCGGGAGCCAGCCGGAACTCCGTTCCTGTGCGTTCCTGCCCCAAAATAGCCCTGCTCTAAGCACTGGACCACTGTAGACCGGTATTGCTAGAGCCCTCTAGTCATTCTGTAGCCAGCGGCTCGCCCTTGGAAGAAGAAATCCACAAGACAGGTAGATCCACGTGGTCAGCTGTGCTGATCTGAAGCAGCAGGACAAAGTTTGAGTCCGGTGGCCCCTTTAAAACCAACAAAGTTTAACTCAAGGTGTGAACTTTCGTGCGCACGCACTCCTCTTCAGAGACAAAGTTCTTCACTGTATCTAAAGAAATCAAACTTTGTTCCCAAGACAGGGAGTGAGTCTTGAGACTTGAAGCTGAGGAACACCCTTCCAGCAACAAATAATGAGGAAGCCGCCTTATAAAACTGAACCAGACCCTGGGTCCGTCAAAGTCAGTCTTGTCTACTCAGACTGGCAGCAGCTCTCCAGGGTCTCAGGTTAGAGGTCTTTCGCATCACCTCCTGCCTAGTCCTTTTAACTGGAGATGCCGGGGATCAGGGGCCCTTTCCTGCAGGAGCGCAACAAGCCCCGCCCCCTGCTCCCAGCAGCCCTCAGTCGGAGCAAGAAGCAGCCAGGTAAGTTGCAGAGGTAAGTTGCCCCAGCCCCCCGGCCCAAAACAGTCCAGTGTCACCTTTAAGACCAAGGTTTATTCAGGTACAAGCTCCCCCTCCTCTGTGAGGACAGATCCCCAAATAGCTAGCAATCCAAAACAGTCCAGTGGAGCTTGAGTGGTGGATGTTGCCTTCTGACACACTTCCAGTGATGTCAGGGGGTGTGGCATATGCAAATAAGTTATGCCAATGAGTAATGAGCTCCTGCACCTCTTTTTCTACAAAATGACCCCTACCGGGGGTTGAACCTGGGACCTTCAGCATGCCAAGCAGAGGCTCTCCCACTGAGCCACAGCACCTCTTTACAGCTCTCCAGGGTCTCAGGTTAGAGGTCTTTCCCATCCCATCACCTCCTGCCTGGTCCTTTTAACTGGAGATGCCGAGGATTGAACCTGGGACCTTCTGCATGCCAAGCAGAGGCTCTGCCTCTGAGCCACGCCACCACCTCTGAGCCCCCCCCCCCCCCCCCCCCCAGAAGGGAATGCTTTACTCTTTCACGGCTGTATAAGAATAATGCCTGCTGCCTGACCTCCCAGTATCCCACCCTTTGAGTATATGCCCGAGTTACTGCTCCTGCTGTGCCTCCTTGACTACCCCCCACCCCCGGATAAGCCTGGAGTGACTTTGCACTGGTAATGATTGACTGGCCTAAAAGGCTGATGCAACAGAACCACTTCCCCTCAGTAGAGACAAACCGGAAGGAGAAAAGGTTTGAGCTGTGAGTTACGCAGGGACACAGCAGGCAGCCTCCTCCGGGGGTGGACACGCTGGGTATACTTCTGATATTTTTTAATAAAATCTCTTCAGGGCACAACCAGCAGCGACACACCATTGGGGGAAGTGCCGTTTTGTCCTTTGAGCGGCACCGCAAGGCCTTGCTTGGCTATTGGCCAGGCCAGCTTACCCTCCGTAGGCTTGTCTCCACAAACGGAAGCTAACCGTGGCCAGTGCTCCCTCTCAGCTGTGGGGTCTTGTGAGCAGAAATTCTACTGTGTGAGCTGCTGCCATTAAAGTGGTGAGCGAGCAATTGGGCTGCTGCATGAATTAGTTTGCTCTGGAGCCCCATCCTTCCTGAGCAAGGACAAAAATGTGTGAGCTGGAGGCTAAAAAACTGTGAGCTAGCTCACACTAACTCAGCTTAGAGGGAACACCGTGGTTGAGGCACATGTGCAGCAGAGCACTGTTCCCTCTAAGCTGTGGAATCCTGTGAGCAACATTTCTACTTTGTGAGCTACTGGCATTAAAGCTGTGAGCAGGTGATTTGGCTACTGCATAAATTAGTTTGCCCTGGAGCCCTCCTTCCTGAGCTCAGACAAAACTGTGTGAGCTGGAGGCTAAAAAACTGTGAGCTAGCTCACAACTAACTCGGCTTAGAGGGAACACTGGCCCCACCAGTGTGCCTGCACTCTCATGGTGTGAGCTTGTGTGCAATTCCCAAAGGCTGGGGATGTCGTCACCTAAAGCCTTGGGCAAGGATGCAGCAGCACAGAATAGCAACGCCCTCCTCCCAATATCTTATCTGAATCGTTCTGCATGGCAATTACAATGGACTTTGCAGCATAATCAGCTTTCCACGGTGGGGGGGAGGGACTTGAAGTTCAAGGGAAAGAAAAACTGGATCAGCGATTGTGGGAAGCTCTTTGACCAAAGCTGTGACTAGAGTCATAGAATCATAGAATCATAGAATGTTAGAGTTGGAAGGGACCTTGCAGGTCATCTAGTCCAACCCCCGGCACTCTGCAGGAGCACAGCTGAAAGACAGCCCTACAACATACCCGAAAGAGGGTCGTCCAGCCTCTGCTTGGAAACATCCAGTGAAGGAGCATCCACCACCTCCCGAGGCAGTCTGTTCCACTGCTCAACCACTCTGACAGTTAGGAAGTTTCTCCTGATATTTAGCTGGTAATGACTCCCTTGTAATTTCCACCCATTAGATCTGGTCTTGCAATCCGGAGCAGGAAAGAATAGATCTGCTCCATCTTCTACATGACAGCCCTTCAAATACTTTAAGACCAGGGCTATTTTGGGGCAGGAACGCACAGGAACGGAGTTCCGGCTGGCTCCCGAGTTGGCCACGCCCAGCAGGAACTCATTAGCATAATAGGCCACACCCAACAGCAGAAACTCATTAGGATTGGCTACATTAGGGGTGTGTGGCCTAACATACAAAAAAGCTCTGGGTTTTGACAACAAACAAGGTAAACAGAATAACAAGCAAAAGGTGGGTGTGGCTGGATAA